GCACCAGCAGCAGTAGAGCGAGTGAGTTTATCTGTCCATAAACTATAACAAAGAGCTCATGTTTCCATGGTGCTTTCATTGACGGCAAGCTCCTTTTAACCACTCCATTTCTACTAAAGAGGTCCCAAATTAAAGCAACATCCTAACATATAAGTTTCTTAAAGGGCCGGATATAATAATATTTCAAGTGGCTATAAATTAACGTTGATTTTTGAGTTTTTCTTTTTGCTGATGACGGAAAAATACCGAAATGTAAGTAAAAAAAATTCACAAAAATCAATGGTAGATTATAGCCACTTAAAACTTGCACTTTATTATACTGAAAGTGAGCTAAAAAACTGCATACTCAAAAGAATTTAAAAAAATTTTGTTTACAAGTTTACAATTTTTGTGAAAGCTTGTCTCCCAGACAGCCAGGTGGTCGACATTCATCAGTAATTTTTAGGGACAAAACCAGCAGGCCGGGGAAAATTGAACAGGGGGTGTCCTTTCCCCGCTGCTGTTTAATTACTACATTTCAAAGCTCGACTGCTCGCTAATGGCGTCCGGGAATGAAATTGATTTGTGCTCGAAAGTAAACGGATACCACCGAACTTTCTAGTTTCTCCATTGCAGGGATCCTAACCCTCTCCCCTACGAAATCCTCGGCAACTCTTTTTACCACCTGAACCTGGAATTCACGTCGATGGCGAACAAATTCCGCGGGGAATGACCCAAAAATCCTCGAAGTTACCTTCGATAGTCTACTCTCCTTCTCTGAGCATACAACTGCAATTGCCAACAGAGGCATAGAGCCGCAACAAGGTCTTCAAGTCGCTAGCCGGCAGCCTCTGGGTTAAAGACGACATTGTCGGCAACTTCTTATTTGGCACTACAACCGTGTGTCGGTGTGGGCCGACACCAAAAAGCTTCTGCAATTGCCTCTCGTACGAATTTGCGCCAGTTGCTCATCCCGATTGCAGACAGGTCCTTCTGCACTTGGTCCACCTTTATTTTCGTGGGCGCCCTTGCTTTCGTTGTCCACCCATGGGTGCGGAGTCGAAGGATCTTTTAAACGGAGCGTCGTCATCCATGCGTATAACATATCCCAGCCAGTGCAATCGCTATATTTTTATGTGTTTAACTATGTCCATGCTGTTAAAAAGCTCATACAGTCCGTCATTACATCTTCTCCTATTCCTGTCGTCCACGCGAAGAGGGCCGTAGATCTTGCGTAGAATAGTTGTCTCGAAAGCACCCAAAGCCTTCCCATCTTTGCTCTATATCGTCCACGTTTCTGTGCAATATAGCATGACGAGAGAGTTGTAGGGCGTAATTTTTGTTCGTCGAGAGAGGTCTCTGCTTTTCTATTTTCTACCGAGCCCAAAGTAGCACTTGTTCGCTTAGCCTCCTGTGTCAGACCGACGATGTCAATATCATCTGCTTACGCCAGCAACATCCTTTTTTTGCTATATATGGTACTGCTGCGATTCAGATTGGTGGGGCAGAGGCGCAGTGTCTAAAATATCGTTTGGTCTCAAACAGCGAGGAGAGGTCATTCCCAATTTGGACGGAGCTGAAGGTTGTGCTCAACGTCACCCTACATAGCCGTATTCGATTTGTGTGATCCCAAATTTAGACATGCCATTGTGCATTCAGTTCGCTTTGTGCTTTCAAAAGCAGCAATGGTGGACTTACCAGCACTGAAGCTACACTGATATGGGCCAATCAGTTGGTTCGTGAACGACTTCAGTTTTTACACAGTATCGTCGACTGGATCTTGTAAGCAATATTGAGAAGGCTTATTCTGCGATAGTTGTCGCATACGGCGGGATCTCCCTTCTTGAGGATTGAACAAAGTACACTGAAATTCCAATTTTCGGGCATGTATTCATCAGACTAAATTCTGCTTAAACGCTGGTACATGCGCCCCTCCAACTCTTCGCCACCAGCTTTGAACAGCTCAGTCGGAATACCGTCAGCTCCGGGGGCCTTGTTGTTCTTAAGCCGCCGTATTGCTGTTCTCACCTCGTCATGGCCGAGTAGAGGGACGTGAGCTTCGTCGTGAGGCGCCAGTCTTGGTGTGGTTTCTAATGCTCTACTAATTGAGGTTAGGGCGATCCGCTTTAAACGCTCCAGTTGTTTTACAAGTTTAGCCTTTTCTAGTGAGATCCATCAGACAAGGGCTCCGTGAAACAAGATAGGTTTAAATCTGGTTTCATAGAGCTAATGAATTATTTTAGGCGAGAGACCTCACATTTTACTGATAGCTCCCCTACTGCAATACAAGGCAATTGACGCCTTTCTTACCATTTCCTCAATGTTAGACTTTCACTACGGGTTACTATCCAGGATCAAGCCTAAGTACTTGACCCTATCTGAGAGCCGTAGACGAACACCCCCACACGAGTGAAGGGCCACAACGGGTATCTTGCACATCGGGTCAAACAAGACCAGTTCTGTCTTGCCGTGGATCGCCCAACTAGTTACCTGGTTCAGGTAACCTTGAGCCAGATCAAAAAGGGTGTATAGAAATCGTTCCTTAACCAAAAGTTCCACATCATCTACATAGGCGATCGCCCGACAGCGCACGTTTTCCAGCTCCTATAGCAGGTAATATACAACTGCAATCCAGAGCAGGGAAGAGAGAACGCCACCTTTCGGAGTGCCCCTATTGACTCTCTGCTGAATGCATGTGTTCTTCCACTCCGCCGCGACAGTTCTGTCACGGAGTAAGCTGTAGATAAGCCTTATTAGATTGGTTTCAACCCCCAGATTAAGAATTTACTTGACTATTTCCTCTCAATAAGCATGTTGAAAGATAGTCACGAGGAATCGCGTTTCTTATGCA